TATATATAATTATTTTAAATTATTTTATATTTCGAACAATAACAATTCAAACACGAACAAACGTATCAGTGTTCGTGCTTGGCTCATTTAACTAACCGAACGAAAAAAAATTGTTCACGTTCGTCTCGTTTACTTATCGAACGAATCGAACACGAACACTAACTGTTCGAGAACAACAAGCTTTTTTGATAACCCTACTCATGAGGATGCCTAGAGGCTCGTATAATAGCCTCCGACCATTATTTAAAAAAACAAATAAATAAATAAAATTAATATATACGTATATATTTATATATGTATATATGTATATATGCCCAATAGAGCATGTGTTATAAAAGGAAAAAAAGAGGAGGCACATATCATAATCAATTCAATAGAATCAATAATGTTAGTCTCATCAAATAATGATATTTATCATGGAAAATTCTCATCTATAATATTAAAAGATGAAGTTGTACAAGTGGGGAGTGTTCTAGAAGCCACGAAGTTTAGCTTTAGCTTGGTGAGTGAGAGAGTTTCCTTGCACTTGGGTTTACTTGTTTGATAAGCGCAAGGGGCGACTTCTATGAGAAGCCCTCCAATATAAATGAAGGAACAAAGAATTTAGACCAGGAAGAGAGAGTGCTATTTATAAAGAACTCGAAACATTACTATTTACATTGGAGGGCTTCTCATAGAACATAGCACTCTAAACATTGCTATTTACAAAACTAGCGCCCTCCTTCATCTATTTTTCAAATTATCACATAAATATCTAAATTAACGATAAAATCCCGCCCAATTTTTCATTTTTATCAAATTCTTAAGAGTTTGATCATGAGATGCATAAATGTATCAATTAGATAGTTCAAGAAAAATTATATGAATGTTAGTTTTTTAAATAGTAAAGTTTTAAATGTTGTTGCATACAATACAAGTGACCTTATGGGATACAAATAACATCTATTTATGACAAATTTTGAATTAAAAAAGAAAAAAAAAAGATGCAATAGTAAGAAATAACCTTTAATCAAAGAAAAATTTACCATGATAATTTTTCTTAATTAGAATATCTTGAGCACTCCATTTTTCTATTTTTCCACCTTTTATTTGCATGGTTAGGAAATTTTGTTTGCATATGTATATATATTCAAGTCATAGGCTTTAACATGTTCATTGAATTGCTTCCTTAGAAAAAAATTGTGAAGTATACTTTGAGGTGCTTGACTTAACTTCATTTACTTTGAAATATTTTGATCTACTTTTCATCAAATCATAATAAAATAATATGTACTTGTTGTGTGTGAACTGATTTAAATTTGAGCATCAGGGAATAAAAAAAAGCTTGCATATAATTAATTAAGAAGATATGATTATGATTAATTTAATTGCTAATGCCTTAGAAGTCATTATCAAAATATTTGGATCAAATCTTCCTTTTTTTTTCATCAAATTTGTGCTTCTAAGACAAGAAAATCAAACAGAAAAGTACTTTTATTTTAAATTTTTGTTCGGCCTATTTTGCTTAATGGCCAGGTGCTTTATTTTCAACCACAAAGTCTTGAATTTAATGCTGAACATATTTTAATTTGTGTTTGAGTAAAGAAATTTTTTTTTTTCAAATTCCTCATTGTAAATAGTACTTATATTATCTTTTATTAAAAATTTAAATTTTTTTTTTTTTGGGTCAATTTAACTTCATGTCTTATGCCAAGATATGAATGTATTGAGTTTAGTTCAACATTAAATTGACAAAAATACTTTATTGTAGAAATATTAAGGGGACATTTAGATACATATCACACAATTCTTATGTATTTATCTCTTCACACCTATAAATTTCATATATATATATATATATATATATAGTCTTTAAAATTACATAAAAAATATATAAAAATAAAATATACTTTTTGATATATATGTTTATGACACCTACAAATATTATAAATGTAAATATTAAACTTTAGATGTTGACATATAAATGCATAAGAATTTTGTGATATGTATGTAATTTTCTAAATATTAAATAAGTAACCCTCATTCAAATTCTCAAACCTCTTCCTTGAAAAAAATTTCACATCCGAACAAACTATATACCATCTCCAATTCTCCTCTATTACAATATATGTTTTACAAGCTCACATTAAAAAACTCAACAGTTTCCATTTTCATAACATGTAATCAACTCCCTAACACAGTCTCCACAGCCAATTCCTTAATTATGAGCAAAACACAGATCATTAAAAAAAAAGACACACAAGAGTTAAAATCTTAATTATCATAGCGATTTTCAAAAATATATACAGTCATATGTATTGATTACTGGTTCCAACATATAATCCACCATTCTTCCAATCTCTTCCCAGTTTCCCTCTCTGAAAATCTCATTCTGATTCAAATTCACAAAGTTTGAAGTTAAACTGAAACTATTTGTCTGAGCTTCATAATTCCATTGCCCAGCTGAATATAACTGATCACCATTCTCTTCCACATATCTGTTGGCATAGCTCTCATCTCCTTGCTTAAAACTGCATCCTCCATGGAGGTATCTATGCTCCTCTCCAGCTTCTGACTCTGTACTGCTCGTCTTGGAGCTTGAATCCGCTGAATTCTGCATTCCAACTCCTCCTTCACCCTCCTTCCCTTTCATCTGCTGTGCGTACCTCTTGAACGATACATTTCTCTTGAATATTCTGCATATAGTCCACGATTCCTGCACAGATAAAAAATAGTGATGTTAAGGTCTGACAACTTCAAAGCGGGTGCCAGGATGCAGAGCAGTGAACTCAATCAAAAAATAGTATTTTTACATAAATCTTAAAATGTTTTATGTGGCAGTCATTTTTATGCATCCACGAGTTTTTTTTAGGAGCTTCAATGGGGTTTAACCGTTTGAAGTAATGTAATGAATGAGAAGAAACCCTAGAGGATTGTCTTACAGCTTCATTGATGGTGGGAGGGGTACTACTGTTGCAGGTTTTGTTGGAGGAAGGGAGTCTGAATTCATGCATCATCCAATCAGTTTTGGTTCCTTTTCCTGCGCTTCCTCTGTAATAAACCAGAGATTTCTTGAGGCCGATGCAGTCGTCGGCATTATTGCCGGAGTAGATCGGCCGATCGATGCCGGTGGCCTTCCAGAAACCAGAGCCTGTTACTCTGTTAGGCCTTATGCTGTTTCTGTATTTTCTTCCTCTCAGGCAGAAGAAGTACCACTCTTTCTCCCCAATGGTGCTCATTTCTGCGTAGAAGGCAACACTAATCACACTGTGAGTTTAATTAAAAAAAGCATGATTAGTTTAATATTATCTGTATTAGTTGGTAGTTTAAATATAGTTAAAAGAGATTAATTTACATAGTTAGCAGTTTATTTCATGTTTGTATCTTGAATTTTATGCGAAAAGATAATGAGCAGTTCATCTGAGTACACTCATTGGCTTAAAAAAGCCTTTTGTTAACTCAAAGATGAAATTTTTACTAAGAGCTCCATGATTTTCGTCATCTTATCATCAATAGTTTATCTGAGTACACTCATTGGCTTAAAAAAGCCTTTTTTAACTCAAAGATGACACTTTTACTAAAAAAGCTCTATGATTTTCATCATCTTATCATCAATAGAAAACAATTAACTTGTTAGGAGTGAGACTTTATTTAATTTAGCAAATAAACATACGTTACATCACATATGAGTATAACAAATTAAAAAAAAAAGATGAATAAATGATTTGAGGTATAATCAGAAATTAATAAATTAAGAATGAAGAATCGTTTTTGAACTTACTTGGAAGCTCCCATGGATCATACTTATAGATATCAATCTGCTTGATGGTATCAATGGAGAGAGGCTTCTTCTTGTCCACCTTTCGCCGGAGATAGAATCCGACGAGTTCCTCGTCTGTCGGATGAAACCGGAATCCGGGAAGAACCAACTTTTCTTCCTCATCCACCACTTCCCCTCCTTTCCTATTGCTTTTCTCTTCAAACCCAACCATCTTCTTCTCCTCCATTAATTTCTCTCCCTTTCTTTATCTTCTCCACTGATAATCACCTACTAGCTTCATACACAGGATACAAATCTTGCTCTGTTTCCTAAGGAGCCGAAGAGTACTTCTGCTAAGAACAAGATGCCATTTTTGGCTCCTTTATATAGGTGAGAAAACATTTAATGTTGAGGATAGTCATGCGGAGAAATGTGCTTGTTGGCTTAGTCCAAGTCAATCATTTTGACCACATTTTCTCTCTCTATCTCCACTTCTACCTCTCTCTCTCTCTCTCTCTATAGCAGTGAAATTATTTTTAGAGATTAATGAAGGAAAGACTCGTTCTGGCTTCAAAGCTACCAAGGAGCTGGTTGGGGATGCTTTGAAGGTGATGGTAAGGCACGGACGAAGCACGTGACATGAGGTGAGAGAGGGGAAGCCCTTGAAGCTAAAAACATGTTTTGGAGTTATTCGGACGAAAAATATGTCTACTTTAATAAATTATAGCTACGTATATGCGTATTACTGATTTTATTTTTATTAGGCTATATTTATTTCAGTTTATTAGTCGTATATTTCACATTTATTAATGTTTCCATTAGGAAGAAAATTAATGATTAATTATCAAACATTGAGTGGTGTTAGTCAAAGATTTAAATCTGCCGATTCCTATGGATCAAGTTCAGCTGGCCAAACTGATCCTATAGACTTGAAGTCAGCTAAGCTTATTTGGTGGAGCTTGAAGGCAGTCGGACTATAAGACCACATTTGTAAGATACTAGAAATACCCTATTGCAGACTTCTTCTAGTTTGGGGTAAAAATATAATATCACAATTGTATATTTTCATTATAAATAGGAAAAATATTTTGTAAAAAATACACACTATTGATCTCATTACTTTTAATCTCTCTCTCTCTCTCTTCTTATTTATGTTCTATTCCACGGGTGTGATTGACATACAATCTTAGATTCAACATGCACGAAAAGTAAATCCTATAGGATCTTCTACTGATAGGTATTGTACACCAAAAAAACAAGACCAACTATAAATTACATTTGTTCAATTATGATGTATGGTGAGTTTAATCAGTCACCATTAATAAGAAAATTAAAATGAGAATCAGATTCGTTGCCCACTTTAACGACACCATTTGTAGCACCAGATCTAGCCAGAAAATTAGCAGGTTTGTTGGCTTCAAGCAAAATATGATTCTACTTAATAATAAAAGTCTACAAAAGTTTTTTAATTTTAGCTCAAAGGACAGAGTTTTGTCATTCACACATGACATTCCCAATGCAACAATGAAGTACAGCAAAGGAGTCCATCTCCTCCAACAAATTCCAAACCTTCAACTCCTTAGCAATAATTAAGCAATAAAGAAAAAAACAACCATTCCAAACTAAGACACACAAACACAATCACAAGGAGCAGAGGAAGTAAGTAGAACTTGACCAAAGTAGTCTCTAAACACCCCACCTGCATTACAAGAGTTATAGCTGTCATCTATATTCACTTTAATGGTACCAAAATGGGGGATTTCCCACATAACAAACCAAATAAAACGGCTAGTAGCACCCATGGTATGCTGCAAACCGTAAACCCAACAATAAGTTTCTGATAGGTAGTATAAGTCACATCTTTAGAGATAAATGATTTAACATTGGTGAGGATATATTTAGCTTTTATCCTAACCTCATAATGCTTCTTCCTTTGATTCCTTTCCTTCTAAGGAAAACAACAAACAATAAAGGGGATAATATATTGCAAATGAAGTTTATAATTACCTCTTCTCCAAAGCGTTAAAAAATGCTCTAGATTCCGATACTCATAGGCCGACGTACATGATTCCTATGTGAGTGATAGCAACCTCAATCCTGAGACCATCACTTCTATTATTATCAAAACCCATAACAGCAATGTAAGCAACAAAATCACCACTTAGGAACCTAGAAAGTTTCTGAATATCCAAACATCCCCATGGCAAAAGTTTTTCACTTAAATTTCAATAGAATGTGCTTCATCAGAAAAATGTGACAGAGGACCCGACAGAGTCTAGTTTTCAAACCAAAAACTATTATTACCTTCACTAATTTCCAAGTTAAGCGCCCTTCAGCTCTACTTCTCATTTTCAAAATTTATTTCCAAATTAAAGAGTCACCCAATTTAGGCAAAGAAGTAAAATGAAGAGAGCATTTAAAGTATTTAAGATGTATGACAGTGGCCCACAAAACTAAATTTGATCTAAGTGTGAACCAAAGTTTACAAAAGCAGATATTCATGGAGTGTTCCGAGGCCCTGAAACCCAAAACCCCATAATTTTTTAGTTTAAAAAGATACTTTCATGACTTCTAATGAGTAATCGTGCCGTGGACCGTGAATAAAACTTTATTGAAAATTCTTTCAATACAAAGTTGCATGCTTTTGGTCATTTTAGCTACTTGAAGTATATAAAAAGGAGTAGATGTAAGGATAGATTGCAAAAGAGTAATCCTTCCCCCATAAAAAAAGAAAGAGTTCACCAAACTCATAATTTTCATGCTAATCTTATTAACAAACTCACTAAAAATCAAAATTCTTCTCTGAATATGATGCAGTGGAATGCTCAAATATTTAAGAGGTAATCACCCAGATTTAATATTAGTGTAGCGTGCAACCCAATGTTTCTTTTCAACATTAATATGATTACTAAATGACCACTCACACTTGGTTCTATGGAAATCCATACCGGAGACTTGCTCAAAATGAGTAAGAATGTTATTAACATGCCTCACATTCCTTTTATCGAAATTGCAAAAAATAAATAAGCTCATCGGCATAGGCTAAGTGAGAAATGATTTCACTACCTCTGGATTTATACCAATCATCCTAATGGTTGATGAGGTGATGGTTTGGAAGGGTGGAAAGATAGTTCATAGCCAAGATAAAGAGAGTGGGAGAGAGAGGATCCTTCTACTTAAGTCCTCTGTTGGCTTTATAATGACCTTGTCATTCACCATTAATAAGAATAGAGTAAAAATTGTTATCCAAGAACATCTGCATCAACCTATAAAAATCATCTTTGAAACATTTAGCTTTAAAATTAGTAAGAATAAATTTCTAACTAATGATATAATAAGCCTTATGTAACTCAAGCTTAAGAATAATGATACCCTCTCTACATTTACAATCCAAGTCTTAAGGAAGTTCCTGAGTTATAAGAATATTATGAATAATGCACCTACTATAAATGAAATCAATTTGTTGAGGACTGACCACAAAAGTAAGAAAAGATTGTAATATGCTCACCAAAATTTTACTAATAACCTTTGAAATAGCAATAGTAAGACAATTAGATTGAACGTTATCCCATCTAAATTTGAAGTTTTCTTTAGGAATAACGACATTATTAGAACACTTAAAAGCTTATGCGGCAGAACACCTTTATAGAAAGATTGAATGGTAGAAGTAAAATTTCTCTTAATGACATCCCAAGCATTCCAATAAAATTTAGAAGCAAATCCATCCGGACTAGCAACTTTGTTGATATTAATAGAGGAAAGTGCATCCCGTATTTCATTTTTCATAGGCAGCAAACATAAATCGGCTTCCATAACCATAACAATAGGAGATATAAGTTCAATTTGTAGAGTATGAAGATCCATCTCAACATATATAAATAAATTTTGAAAAAATTTCACAACACTTTCTTTAATATATCGGTGATCATAAAGCCAATTACTATCCTTATCCTTAATTTTCAAAATAGCATTAGACTACCCCCGCTGTTTAACACAGGAATGAAAGAATTTAGTATTCTATCCCCTTCCACATCGCTTAAAATATTAATTTTTTGCTTGTAAAAATTAATTTCCTTCTGAATAACCTCATTAAGTTTATTTTTAGAAAACACCATGTTCTATTTCTCAACAAAATCATTCTCATACCGACTTTCCAAATTTTTTATGAGAGTTTCAGTATGAATAACTTTACTGTAAATATTCCCAAAAGCTGTATGATTCTAATCTTCCAAGACAGACATAAGTTTCCTTTATATGTTGTCTTCAAAGGTGAATCCACAGTTTATCATATTCATTAGAGTACCAGTTAAGAGTAGTCAGATGTTTAAAATTTAAAACCAGGGCGGTCAGTCTAGACATTTATAAATCTAAAATATTTAATTTTAGAACTTTGAAGGAAGTCTACACTAACGAACAAATGAGAGTTAACATAGCCAATTCTACTAAGATAAGCCACTTTAGTAAAATGAGAAGCCTCCTTCCATTTATGATTAGTTAGCATTCTATCAAGACACTAAAAATCTTTGCCCCTACAAGTAGTAAACATATTCTCTGTATAATCAGCTTCAAACAACCCACAATTTCAATACCTTCAAGAAACTGATTCATCATTGTCCCAGCTTTCTTTTCCAAGAAAGTTGTGATTGCATTAAAATCACCCCCTACCATTCATGGGACATTATTAACACTATTGATTATGTGTAAATCAATCTAGAGCAGTTCTTAATATGCAGCTTTACAACCAGATAAATAGTAATAAGGTTTACAAAAAGGTTACAAAAAGAAATTTCTACATGAAGGTATTGGGGGTTACCTTCAAGTTGTCTCACATTGATATATATATATATATATATAACTTTTCTTGAATGATCAAGAAGGAAATAGATGTAGCTTAATTATTTGTATTGCTCATGTGATATATATGAAAATTTTGAATATTATAAATATAAATATTAAAATTTAGGTATGATCAAATATATGAGAATTCTATGTTATGTATGTATGTAAATGCCCCAAAATTAGGTCGTGATATCAGAGAAAAAATGAGTCATGATATTTTGACCAATATTCTAATTAAAAATTTTAATTTTACCCTGATATAAATGTAATATAAGATTGTTAAATTAGTTTTATATTATATTTATTCAAAATAAATTCATAAATTTTAAAATTCACCTTAACAAAATTTTGATTAAAATACTAGAACCCTAAAATTTCATGTGATCTTAAGCACAAATCCAAGTTCTTTTCAAATAAAAAATGAGTCAACACAACTAATGAACATACAATTTAGCAGTTATATTCTAAAATCAACTATGAAATTAATTTATATATATATATATATTTAATTTTATTTAATAAGGGATGGTTTTGGGCAGCTACAACTTATTAAAATCAGTTGTC